ATCTTTTGTTATGCTTTAATCTTGAAATGGTGGGTTTGTTTGAAAGGCAAAGATAAGCAAGAATTATCCATGTCACTATTCGAGTAGCGCATTGATGAGTTTCATGGGCACAGTTCAGACTTCTGTGTTCGCATTATGCATTTCGAGAGAAGAGGCTGGATGGAAGCTTGGTTGGAATATCAGATTAATCGTCGTTCTTTTCATGGTATGAATATTAAATGTAGATACGATTACATACTCCCTCCGGTCCTAAATAAACTTCATAGTTTAGACTTTACTGTTTTTAAGAAAGTGAAATTTTTACTTTTGACTTTCCCATCATGTCTCTACAAAAAGGTGATAAAGTGTAATGAGAGAAAGAAACTGAGTGTAAAGTAGGTAATAAAGTAAGAGTATAAGTGTAACTTTATGTTAAAAACTTGCCAAAAATAGAAGTGTGAAGTTTATTTTGGAACTACATTATATTCAAGCATGATTAATCCGGCTACAAAGGATCTGTGAAAGATACTATGGGGTAATAATTAGCAATAATTATAAATTGTCATCTATTACTAATGATATAAAAAAGTATCGCACTCACTTCATTAGCATATCTCTAACAATATATGTAATATATTGTTATATTAGTCCGTCAGTTTTACATAACCTGACCAAAATTGACTTTCACGTGAAATAACAAAGTCAAAATAGTGTGGTTAAAATTTGTGCAAATCACATAAGATGGAATATCTTTAACTGTATATTTATTACTTCAAATAAAAATGAAAAAGTTTCTTAGAACAACCAAAGAATGAAAATTGACAAGAAAGTGAAATTGTAGAATTAAATTTAGTCGAACCAGACATTACTTATATGGTAATAAATACTCAAACACATGAAGATGTTACAAGTAATTACCCATTTTCATACAACTAACATTTTATTGTACAAAATTTTGATAGTTGATTGTTAAGTGTTTTTGAAAACCCCGTGGGGTCCCGTCGAGCCCCAATTGTATAGCATGGGCTCGGCCCAACTACATCTCTATACAATCCTCTAACTCGATATATCATATCAAAATTTGTATGGCAAGGGCTCGGTCCAACTACGTTTCCATACCAACCATAACTTCGTGGCAAGGGCTCGGCCCAACTACGTTTCCACGGAGGTCACATATACATGGCAAGGGCTCGGCCCAACTACGCTTCCATGCTAATCATATTACATGGCATGGGCTCGGCCCAACTACATCTCCATGTCATCCTAGAGTCCAACTCTAATTATTTTCATAATCAAATTCTCAAGCAAGTCCTATGCCTAGAATCAATTCCCGGAGGTGGCCTTTAGGCCTACCCCTATCATACCTTAGTGTTCATACCATTCATCCTTAAGTATCTCTTGAGACTACTTAAGGCATATCTATTCACAATCCTACCTCTTAGGATTTGTTTTATCATTTATTTATATTAATTCCCCGACTAGTATTTTGATACTAATTGGATAATCTTAGAACATGCCAAGTTCCTATTTCCCAATTTACATTTCATTTCCATTGAGTTCTCAACCCAAGTATAGTTTGATCTCAATATCAAAAATATCACTTTAATCCATTCATGAATTTCATACATGAAGTAAAGTATATTTTATCGCAATGTCATCATAGTAATTCCATTAACATGCCGTTCCATTCATTTCACATAATCATACACCATTATTCTAAATTTGTATATCATGCTTCACTTACTCATATCCATATTATTTTCATTTAGGCATTATTAATCATTAATAATCCATGAAAATCCCATCTAATTACTTTAGGCATTCTTATGAAATTAACTCACTAATTATAAGCAATATAGTCAGCCATCCTCACCTTATGATGTGCTCAACTAGCTACCTTAGCGAAACCCCCTCGATCCGTCCTCGTTCTAGGCCGTTCAAGAGTGGAAAATCTGGGAATAGAGCGAAAGCCGGGCGGCTTTTGTGAAAGCCGGGCGACGTTCGTCCTCCTGCAGCACGAACAGCCTCCTATATGTGGCGGTTTCCGGCGATTTCGACTCCTATCGATTCACCAACTCTTCTAAGTTAAATATCACCACTTTATATCAATATTCTACACTTTTAAACGTGTAGAACATCATGTTTAACCCACCAAATGATTTCTTAATAAATCATTCATGATAAAACTAGTTACAAGAGTTTTCTTGTAGAGTTCTTACCTTGAACTCAACTCCTTCTTGTTAGATCTTTTCCCCTTGCTTCCCTGAGCTTGAACTTTGATAGAGGCCTTCCCAGAGCTCCTCTCCTACCTTATTTGAGTGGTGAGGATGATGCAAATGATGGGGGGACATTTCATCTCAATCCCTCCCACTTATTCAATGGAATGGGTCATGGGTTTTGTCTTTTGGAGACTTCCCACCTACTAGGTACACCCCCAGCTGCTTCCTTGACATTTTCAGCACATTGGGTCGTGGGGTGGCCCCCACTTATGTGGGAGGTCATCCCATTATATCCCGGTGTGTATAATTGGCCCCGAAAGTTGTATTTTTCGGACTACTTTAGTCATATTTTATTTTATCGGGCCAGATAAAATGTATCACGCGTTCCTAATAATTATGAGCCTTTAGAATAGATGTATATTCCCCAACATTAATTTAGGAGTCTCCGAAACTCATTTCAGGCTGTTATCCGTTGAATTGCCAATACCGGTAATTGGGCCCCGTTTGACCAACCGGTCAACTCCATGCCTTTCTTATGGCCCAAATAAAATATCCACCACCATATACATATTATCTAGACCAAGATGAATATAATATGTGGTTCGGGAATTATCGGGCGGTCCCCGTTCCCGCTGTGGGCCCCACATGCAATTTACTATTCACGTAAAAGAAAAATAAAAATTTACAATTACGCAAATTCAGAAATCATCTTTCAAGGTTTATTACATAATTTACTAATAGTAAATATGCTTGGGGACGGTGCTACAGAATACCCCACACACATGACTGGAAATGAAAAACAACATTTCCATGTCTTTTATGTAATGGTATTACCATTTTTGTCATTTATGAAAATTGTGCAGCTAGTACTGTTTTTTATTTTCTAGACAAATTTTAACTCCACAATTTCTATTCATTTTTATATTGAGTTTTTTCCACTTTTAGTCCTCCGGCAATTATGTCACTGACACTTTTGGTACTCGACTTTTAGTTTTTCCACTTTAAGTCCTTCAACTATTGTGCGAAAGACACTTTTGGTACCCGTCTTTGAAAATTTCCACATTTAGGCCTTCGACTTTCATAAAAATGACACTTTTGATCCTTGAACTATTATAGGAGTGACATTTTTAGTCCTACACTTATTATCTCAAAATCATTGTGGAAGGACTAAAAGTGTCAAAGTGATAATACTCGGAGACTAAATGTGGGAAACTTTGAAGTCAAGGACTAAAAGTGTCTCTTGCACTATAGTCTAGGATTAAACGTGGAAAAATTGAAAGTTGAGTACCAAAAGTGTCACTGACCCAATAGTCGAGGGACCGAAAATGGCAAAAACTCTTTTTATATTTATATTCATGCATAGTCCTTGTAACAAAAAACTAAGAAGGGAGATATTATAGAGTAATATTTCATTCCAACTTTAGATGAGATGTATTAATAATCTATACTGCACAATAAACTCTAGATCTAGACACAATATGTTATTTGTAAAATGTTAAATCATTTTTATAATACTTAGATTTGTAAAATACTTGAGAGTGGCCAAAAAATGATGTATTGAATAGCTATCACAATTATTAATTATCTACAAATAGTTGAATGAGAAAAATATTCATTAGTATATCTCTAACAATTATTATATATGTATTAATTTGGCAATTTTATATTATGCTTTCAACTTATATAAAATAAGAGATATTACGCAAAATAGGACTAAAAAAGTTTGAAAATTCCAAAATAGGACTGCTATGTTTTTATTCCCAAAATAGGACTGCTGTGTTTTTATTCCCAAAATAGGACTAATTACTGTCATGTTTTGGCAGTACCATACTTCAAACACGGCAGTATTTTCTAAACATGACAGTAATTAGTCCTATTTTGGGAATAAAAAATATGACAATCCTATTTTGGAATTTTGAAACAATTTTAGTCCTATTTCGGGAACTTTCCCATAAAATAACTATCCATCGTATGCATATAGACGTTACTAATGAGGCCAATTGCTTTCGGGAAAAAATAAATTGTTCTTTATCCATGCAACGCACGAGTAATTGACTAGTGATACTATAGTAACTATTAGTCATATTTTTATAAATAAGTTTCATTTTTAATTAGTGTGCTATAGGCATAGTAATTTCCCTAAATACGACTAAATGTAAACATAACTGTACAAATAGGAGTAAAACTTAAATCTTTCGCATATAAGCTAAACATTAAGGGCCGGTTTATCAACAGAGACATTTTCCAGTTTTCTTTCTATTTTCCATTCTCCATTTTTTTTTTAATTTTCCTGTATTTCTATATCCAGTTTTCAGTTTTCATTTTCAAGTTTTTCATTTTCAAATCTGAAAACATGTTCATCAAATTTTTTTCACCTGGTTCTGGGACCGAACGGAAGTACAGTCCCGGTCTGAAACTGAACCTAGTACAACCCAAGCATACCTGATCCTGGGTAAAGGAAAGTTCGGATCGAAACCGGCCGGTCCTGGTCCCAATAGCTAGTTTGACTAATATTTTCCCTTTTCCCCTATTGGTTGGCAATACAACGACTCTTTTGAAACTATTCACTTTGAAAAATGATTTGAAAAATGGGGACCGAACCAACGGATCGCCGTCCCAACTGGACAAGGACCGTCGGGTTACTGACCGGACTGGCTCGGGACCGCCCGGTCATCGGCCGGACGCAGAGTCATTGACCGAACCAGCCAAGGACCATCGGGTCGTTGACCGAACTGGACAGGGAACGTTTGGTCGCTGACTGGACTTGGACCGCGGGATCATTGATCGGATTGGATAGGGACTGCCAAGTCATTGACCAAACCGGACCGGAACTGGGATTGGAATGGGATTGGGTCCACTACTAAGCGTAAGTGTGCAAATTCATTGCAGCATCGGCGTATTTCAAAATTTGGAAATTAAAACTAGTAAAACTCACTTCTCTCATTCATTAAAGCCATATTTTTGTTGGAAAATGGTTTGGTGAATGCATTTTCCTGTTTTCCTTTTTACAGTAATTCTCTCATTCCTGTTTTCTATTTTCTAGTTTTCCGGTTTTCTGGAAAACTGAAAAATATCTCTATTAGTAAACATGCACTAATTTTCTACCATTAATATCCTAATCTAATTAGTTAATTGTCCCCAACTTCCATTGGGCAACCGGGTCAGTCTATTGGTGGCAGGCAAGACCGGTGGTGGCGGACATTCCGGCAACCAGCGTAGCTCCGGCGAGATGCAACACGCAAACTGTCGGTAGCCGGCGGTGGTAGTGGGTAGGCAGGGGACTCTAAAAGGCTACATGAATATATTTGTCCAAACACACGTAATTAATTCTATTTAAAGAATTTAAAATAGTTTAGTCCTATTCGTGAATTTAGGGTATGAAAAATCTTATTTAGATACTTGCTCTTATATATATGTACAGGGAGTTATAGGATCAGGAGTCGTATTAATTCTGATGATGTGGTGCGCAAATAAAAGTGGGCCCTTGTTTGTGTCCATCTTCAATCCTTTAGTATTGGTGTTTGTGGCTCTGACATGCTCATTGTTGCTCAATGAAACATTACATCTTGGAAGGTAACTAATTACAAATGAGACATAATAATGTTCATAATCATCTTTCTGCACGAATTCATCAGATTTCCTTTATAATTTACCATGCATCGATTTTTTAGTTGATCTTTAACTGCTTTCTCTAATCTGAATGTGATGTAAATTGAAAAAATTGATGCATATGCAGCATTTTGGGTGGATTTGTGATTATATTCGGATTATACGTGGTATTATGGGGGAAAGCAAGAGACATGAAAGAAGCAAGCAGCTCTGATTCTCAGCATGTCATTCCTAAAACTAACTTAGAAACTGTGCAATAATTAATTAATTTGTTTTGGTTCTGTTTTCTTTCAAGTAAGCATAAACTCAGAAAGTAATAGTTTCTGCCCGTGCATTGGCCCTGATCAGAACAAAAGCTAGCTAGGCAAGACCGCAAGAAATCATTGAATATGTGTGTAGTCTTTCTCTTTCAGCGTCTCATTAGACGCTACGTACTCCGTATACTTTTATTTGTTCGCCTCTATTTGGCAAAATATTACTCTCTTATATTCACATGCAATTTTGGACGCGATTTTCACTATGAGTCATCCGGAAACGGTCTCTCTGTGCTTTAGGACAGGGGTAAGACTGCTTACATCTGACCCTCCCCCCACCCCATCGTAGGTGGGAGCCTTTGCGGCACTGGGGTAAATGAGGATGATGATGAGATTCACATGCTATTTAATATTATTGCTCATCTAATACACAAATGAGCGTTGTTGTACCCCGTATTTTAGAAAACAAGTATCCCACTCATCAATAAATAAAGTTACGGTTTCCACAATCCCACTCCTTCAAAGCTTACGAAATTTAACGAAAATTGAACCACTTATCAAAATAACGTGGTTTAAACTTGGAAAACACAAAAATTGTAGCTTTTAAATTTTTGTGTGAGAATTGCATTGAAAGAACGAAAATGAATTTGTTGCAAGAAGAGCACATCAACCAATATACAATGCACATGAAGAAGTTATACGTAGTTTGCATATCAAACACAAGAAATAAATGAAAATAATTCATAACTATATATATAAAGTATAAGAACAAGTATCTAATGGACAACCACTAATGTCTAATGCATATATCTCATATAAGAAGAAGTATCTTACATATATCTCGTATATAAAGAACCTTAAGATGTATCTTGAGCACAAAAATAAGTATCTAACGCGCAACAATTAAGAGTTAACATCTAACACATAATTAAGGACTTAATACAATTTAAACTAGTGTCTAACACACAAGAATCTACATCTCTAGCATTATTTGTGTATACGTCCAAGAACGAGTATCTAGCACATAGCATGTACATACGAATCACAACGAGCTAAGTAGCCAACACACACAAACTCGTATCTAACACACAACCATCAATATCTAATGCACATGAACCAATATTTAACTCATTGTTCGTATATAACACACACAAAAATGGAGAAAATATATGAAGCAAAAATTAAATAAAAATGAAGGATATACATTATTTCTCTTTCTTTCCTTCTCACTAATGATACATGCTAAACTTTCTATAAATGGACAAGTCAACTCACATGAGAAATAAAATACAATATTTAAGAGGATATGGAATGTTTCCATTCATGACATGATCGCAGATCCGCAAATGTTTTGAATGACTATGATTTGTTCTCATTTCTTACAATAAGGTGTGATCTTAGTTGAACCAACTAGCGTTTGATCGCGCTAGGCGCGAGAGCTTTTGCCCAATGTCAAAATAGTGTTTTGTGAATAATTACTCCGTATAATCTATTATATTTGAGATTGTTATGACATTTTCTAAATAGTTTACGAAATTGTCTCACTTTTTTTTGTAAATAATTGCATCAATTATATTTTTAGTCCACCAGCTATTGCATGGATGAGGTGCCCATATTTTTAAAACTATGTGATTCTATTAGTTGATTATATTTTTCCGATAGTTGTAGCGATAGTAGATTTTTATTATAAACTGTGACAATAGCGTTATCAAACATCTTAAATTATGTACAGATTGAGTTGGTAGATGTGTAGGTGTTATGAATTTCGAAGTTTAGAAGAAAAAAATCCAACTACTAGTGTTCTACAAGCTAAGAGATAATTTTTATCCTACATGTGGCTAGTCTCCCTCTTGTTGACTTAGACACATACCTTACTCAATACCAAGTAAATGAAGTCAACATGAATGATACTTTACTTTATATATATCCATGAGAGTACAATGAAGGTATTCCCCCTAGCTAGTAAATAATTACAATAAAACTTAATATATATACATGAAAATGAGAAATAACTTTAGTCATTAAAATGAAAAATAAGTGGATCATATCAATTTTAAGTGCAAACTCAGTGGGAAATGTGTAAATGTTATGTTTTTTTTTCAAAAAATAATGTCATACATGTGCAATGCTGTCGAAAAAAGTGTATTTGACTAACACAAAAGTTCATCACTTTTCGAAATAATACAACACTTATAGAAATTATTTTGTGATGCTTTTTAACGGGGTTAATGTGCACTTATACATATCGCATATGCACTTTTACTATTGTGTATTGTACTATTGTACTTTTAGGTTTAACATTTTGTCAAGCGAGTTTTGATATATTCCGTCCATTTTAAGTGACCAAGGGCTTAGATCACTTTTCACTTTTCATTGGAAGACCTTTCTGTATTAGAACTTACCCATATATTTAGGATCAAATGAGAATAGTGTTTAACGTGAGAACGTGAGAATACCAGATTTACCCCAATGCGGTGCACAATGAGTCTCGCCCAATCCACTTTTTCGTGTTAAGTATAATATTTACCAAAACGCCACCGCAATGATTTATATTAGTTTGGTTTGAGCAAAGTCAAAATGTGCACTTGACGAGCTTTATTTTGTATCACATTAGGTTAAATTGTGTGCACGTTAAACATTGTTCTCATTGGAACTGCACCCTATATATATAATTCTAAAATATAAAATATTTAATTAACTAAAATGGGTCATCAAAATTGACCTGGGTGATCTTCCTCTTCACAATATTTTCCTTCAAGTATCAAACCCAAAATGAGGGGCTTCCCGAGGATTTTGTCGCATACATCATGATTGAAGTTTTTTTTTTTTGCTTCAAATAGGTTCTTTTGTATAATATACTCCATGAGCCAAGTGCTACGATTGAAGAGGACAAGAGGCAATGCGGTTAATTAAGAGTTTTGGAAAGCTGACTAACCTAATATAAACGTTAGGAGAGGTAAGGGTAAAGAAGTCCTATTAAAGAGTAAGGTTCCATTTTCTAAAAATAATGTACAACATGTCATGCACAAAGTGTATTGATATAAATCAAGGGTACTAACTCTCATTCACAATTATAATTTTGTTAGATGAACCCTATATATATATATATATATATATATATATATATATATATATATATAACTCTAAAATATAAAATATTTAATTAAGTAAAATGTGTCATCAAAATTGACCTAGGTGATCTTCCTCTTCCCAATATTTTCCTTCAAGTATCGAACCCAAAATGAGGGGCTTCACGAGGATTTTGTCGCATACATCATGATTGAAGTTTTTTTTTTTTTTGCTTCAAATAGGTTCTTTTGAAAATATACTCCATGAGCCAAGTGCTACGATTGAAGAGGGCAAGAGGCTATGCAGTTAAGAGTTTTGGAAAGCTGACTAACGGAATATAAACGTTATGAGAGGTAAGGGTAAAGAAGTCCTATTAAAGAGTAAGTTTCCATTTTCTAAAACCAATGTACAACATGTCATGCACAAAGTGTATTGACATAAATCAAAGGTACTAACTCTCATTCACAATTATAATTTTGTTAGATATATGTGTATGTGTGTGTGTACATATACATATATCTTTATATATGAAAAACATGCCAAACAATATCTTATCATGTTTTCCGTCCAAAGTCACTAAAGTTGGTCCAATGAAAATGATGCATAGGCACACTATTAAGTTGTAGCTTCCCGCACTTAGCTTGGTCACTCCCATCAAGTTTAGACGGTACTTGTGAGTAGTGTGTCTTTTTACTTTGATTCGTTCATTGTGTTAAGATATGAAATTTCATCCTAACAAGTTAACCTGATAGGAGGAGGTGTCCATGATCCTAATATAGTACGTTATTACTTCTTAAGTTACCGATGTGAGACTTCAACACATTGCAACTAATAAGTTCTCAATAACGCGCACACACATCTTTCTTTATTGTGGCATGCAATCAGTTTTTTTTGCACATTATAATAGTGATAATATGTTCAAACTTTGGGATCAAAAGTGTGGTTAGAGACTGTAAGCTTTGTGGCTAATGAAATCTTTATTTTTTAGAATGATTATTGTAATTTTTTTGGAACTGGTTATTTTTTCACTACGTAAAGTAATATATCAATGTTTTTCATATCTAATGCTCTTTAACTTTTCTTTAATAATCTGAGGTTACTAGTATGTCATAGTTTGGTTTGCATCACCTTGAAGTTATAAAGATTTTTATTTGATAAACGGAATTTACAAATATAAAGTATACTACACTGAATTATGATGAACATAATTTAGCATACCTTGTTCATAGTTTGGCATAAAATGAACATCAATTAAGAAATATTGTGTTTTTTATTTTAGAAATTATTTAATTATGAGGAAGTATTTAAAAACATAATTTTGGACTAAATATATTCATTTATTTTGCTAAATTTTGAAATAAACTGAAATTACCTTTTGCTTTAGAAAAATCCCAATTTCAAAACATTAGAAAAACTATTTAATCATTAGGAAAAGATAAATATGGAACTACTCTATTACGGAGATGTGTGGTATTTAGTAAATTAATTTTAAATTAAATAATAATTTGATTAATTATGAATAGTTTTTGAAGTGACCATGACAAATTTCTTTAAATTACATAAAGTATAAAATTAAACAAACTATTTAAATTAAATTTGAGTATTAAGTTTATAGTATAACCTATGAAAGTAAATACTTGTATATACTATCCTCATAAATAATGAGCATAATATATACCTAAAATAATGGCAGGTGTATAACTACTAGCTTTTTCATTTCCAAAAATATAACAACTTTTACTTTTTCCAAACATCTGACTTATTTTAAAGTTAAAAAAGCCCGTAGACTCTAGCTAAATCCCGTCGTCTCCATCTTTCTCTCCCAGCGAAGCATAACTCCCGTCTTCTCCGCATCAAAAAAATCATGTCTTCTCCATTTCCACTCCCAGTGAAGCATCAATATATCTATACCGGCTAAAATTTCATCATCTCTCTTCTCCGACCAATCCACATTCCATTGACGATTTACGAAGCTTCGGTGCACCCATCGAAAATGACCTCTGCGATGAACGAAGATGATTGACATGAGACTTGCAATGTAGAACAGTTAAGTAGACATCTTTCACATCTCGCAGAGAAGGTGGATGCGGCTATCAGCTTTTCATATCTTTGATAGTGGAGGCTACACTTTAAGATCTGTGGAAGTGGTGGTCTGATTTTCAAATCTGTGCTCCTAAGGGGATGGAG